ACCAAACTCTACAAAGCCCTTAGCCTTTTACAAATCACTTTTTCTGATAACAAGGGCATCGGTCTTCACTGACTATATAGGAACTCTACTGTCCCAAATGCTTTATAGGCAGAGGTCATTTTGAATCATGGTATTCTAAAAGTAGCTCTTTCAAAAATCTAAATCCAGAAGCTTTCATCGGAGACTGTAATCACGTAATATGAACCAACAACTTTTGAGACATACCTTCTTACTTTTTCATCCCAAGTCTTTTGTTCATCGATAATGACATTCATATTACCTCCATACGGTTCTCTATAATCATAGATGGCCTCTTCAATCTTGGTGAATCTCATAGACGTGCTTATTTTGTTGCTTCCTTTTTCCAATATTCCAAAGTTGATATTAGCCATCAGCTTTGTATGTAATTGCCTTGTCCAAGTCGTCATCACTGCTTATGCAGTATCAAATGTCTTAACCAGGCTAGAATCAACTTTATATAAAAGACATATATGAGATGGCACTTTAAAGGCTATATTCCCAAGCTTATTACAGTAACAAAACGGTTTCCGTATACCAAACTATTTTGGTTATTGAACATCAATTTTCTATGTATAGTTCTTACATAGCATAGTGTTGAATCATTAGTTGTCTTAACCTTGTGTTACTCATATTTGTCCAAGCAGCAAACTCATAAATAGAACTCGAGGCCAAGGGGGGGGGCGAAAGCTAGCGCTCCAGAATGGGAAAGTGGAGGGCAGCGAGGTAGGAAAAAACACGGCGCTCTTTTTGGAGGCAGGGGTGAAGAGTCCTTTATATGTGGCTCTTTGCCCGGATCCTCCTGCGAGAGAAGAGAGAGAAGAGAGACGGAAAGACGAGAGACAGAGAGGAGAGAGAGAGAGAGAGAAGAGAGAGATGAGAGAGATGAGAAAGAGATGAGAGAGATGAGAGAGATGAGAGAGATGAGAGAGATGAGAGAGATGAGAGAGATGAGAGAGATGAGAGAGATGAGAGAGATGAGAGAATGAGAGAGAGAGAGAGAGACAGTGAGACAGTGAGACAGTGAGACAGTGAGACAGTGAGACAG